CCTGAACCCTGTACCTCTAAAATAGGAACTGCAGTGATTTTTAAAACATTCATAAAAATTGGGTCACATACAAAAACACAAAGAAAGTCAAGCATATACTTCCAAATTAAAATAATTTGGGGGTTTCCACAATCTAATCAAATTGCAATATTAAAAATGAAATGTTTTAAAATAATGTATGAATCAAAGATTTAAGTCATAATGGGAACTACAAAATATCTGTAAGTGAAAGCAGAAGTTGTGGCATGTAGCTAAAAGAGAATTTAGAGGAAAAATTGTAGTCTTAAAAAATGTGTTAAAGCTTGAAATTTTATTTAATAAACATAGGAAGGTATTAATAAGAATAAATGTAGTAGACTCAAAGAAGCAAGCGGGCAACAATGATCACAAAAGAGTAAATTAAATGAATTTTGAAGAAGTGGAGTAGTAGAGAAAAAAAAACCTGAAATTTGGTTTCTTGAAAATACTAATAAAGCAATCTCTAGCAAGATTGATGAATTTAAAAGTTTACACAAATTAATATTGGACTATCTTAGTATTAGTTGCCAGTCCAAAAGTTAATTCAGAAAGGTGGATTCTCCAGGCCAGTATACTGGGGTCGATTGCTATGCCCTCCTCCAGGAGATCCTTCCAACCCAAGGATCAAACCCAGGTCTCTTATGTCTCCTGCATGCTCAGGTGGTCTCTTTACCATTATTACCACCTGGGAAGCCCAGAAAGGTGGGACATGGATGTTTACTCTATTAGGATCCTGCCCTCTTTGTGTTCGAAATATTCCACAATATGGAGAAGGAAATCCCATGAACAGAAGAGCCTGATGGGCTACAGTCCATGGGGTCACAAAGAGTCTGATACAACTAAAGCGACTTAGCATACACACATGCATGCCATAGTCCAGGCATTGCCTATTGCCGCTGTATTCTGTGTAGTGTGCTTTAACAGGTACCGATTCTCTCCTCTTCTAGTGCATCTTGCTCCAAGGGACTCATTCATTCTTGCTTTGAACAGGCTTGGTACTTCAAATCCCAGCAGTTAAAGCAGTGGCAAGGTTAAACTGTGAAATCAACAGAATGAATGCCTTTAGCAGTGGTTGGAGAGAACAAGACTCCTATCCACACATGGTCAAAATAGATGGATGCACAATGGGTGAAAGTCATGGCTCGCCTAGGGACAGTTTCCATGAAAGGCATGGGCTTCTTTGAGGCCTCATATCCCCAAGATTGTCCAGTTGCTTTTCCTTATCTGGTTGATGTTATTCTTCCCTTTGGCATTTCCTAGGCTCCCCTAGTGGCTCAGCTGGTAAAGGATTGCCTGCAATGCGGGAGACCTGGGTTCAATCCCTGGATTGGGAAGATCTCCTGGAGAAGGGAAAGACTACCCACTCCAGTATTCTGGCCTGGAGAATTCCATGGACTGTATAGTCCATGGGGTTGCAAAGAGTCAGACACTGAGCGACTCTCATTTCCCTCAGTGGGCATTTCCTAAGCTTCAGAGTTTGTGTGTAAATTTATGCTTGCACTCTGGCTTGATCTGGGAGGTAGACCTACTCAAGTCTGAGTGCAAATACCCAGACATGGAGGGCAGATATGTCCTGTATCTGGAGCCTTGGCCTGGAGGTCCTGTATGTTAGCACTTTCTCTCCTGTTCTGAGAAACAGCCAGTTGCGAGAAGAGAAAAGAGATTTTTCTTGAGTTTTAAATGAACGAGGACTCAATATATAGTTTTTACTATTCAATTTAAAATCACTGACTTCCCCTTGCAAGCTTCCTTTGATTTGAATAGTGTTCTATTCAATAAATTCAAACTATTTTTTTAAGTTTATTGGCTATGATTCTTACTTCTGATAAGCACACTGTTCTATAATGTATATTGTGAGGAAAACTATGATGTCATCAGTTTCTTTTTCCTGTAAGATTTCCCTTTCTTCCCTCATAAAACAAATGACCTAATTTTTTTTTTTTCTGTCCTAGGGTATTGTGCCTCTTTTTTAAAAAAGGACCATTGTGATTTTAGCAGTGAGTTTGCATATAGTTTGACATGAGGTCAGTAATTTTCCCTAGGACAGGGAAATAGCATATTTTTAGGTGTGCGGTCTGGTCATTTAATAATCTTCTTCTCACATGGGTATGAGGGTTAGCAGTGTAACAACCTAGCAGTGACCAGGAACATGTGGAGAAGGTGCTTTTGTTTCCATGAGATACTGATAGCATCATGGGTGCTGCAAAGGAGTGTGTCTGCCATTGCTACCCGTTGACTGAGTAGCAGATCAGAGTGAGTGCAGTCCCTCGGAGAAGGTGACCAGTATGTGAGTGATTGCTTTGGTCCCCTCCTACTGGCCTGGCCTTAGAATTAAGTTGGGAAAACAGTGAATTTACAATGGGTCAGTGGGTAAAGAATCTGCCTGCCAATTCAGGACACCCAGGTTTGGTCCCTGGGTCAGGGAGATCCCCTGGAGAAGTAAATGACAACACACTCCAGTATTCTTTCCTGTAGAACTATGGACAAAAGAGCTGGTGGGCTTCAGTCCATTGGGTCACAGAGAGTCAGACCCGACTGAGCATGTGAGAGCAATGTAAGACAGTTCACTGCTTTGTATTCCCAGGTTTCGTTCCACTAAACCATGGTAATTTCTTTCTGAAATAATTAAGTCTAACTTAAGAAAGGCAATGCCCAAGAATGTTCAAACTAGCGCACAATTGCACTCATCTCATACACTAGCAAAGTAATGCTCAAAATTCTCCAAGCCAGGCTTCAACAGTATGTGAACCATGATCTTCCAGATGTTCATGCTGGATTTAGAAAAGGCAGAGGAACCAGAGATCAAATTGCCAACATCCGTTGGATTACTGAAAAAGCAAGAGAGTTTCAAAAAAACATCTACTTCTGCTGACTGTGTGGATCACAATAAACTATGGAAAATTCTTAAAGAGATGGGACTACCAGACCACCTGACCTGCCTCCTGAGAAATCTGTATGCAGGTCAAGAAGCAACAGTTAGAACTGGACATGGATTGTAAGAGTTGGACTATAAAGAAAGCTGAGCTCTGAAGGATTGATGTTTTTCAACTATGGTGACGGAGAAGACTCTTGAGAGTCCCTTGGATTGCAAGGAGATCCAACCAGTCCATCCTAAAGGAAATCAGTTCTGAATATTCATTGAAAGGACTGATGCTGAAGCTCCAATACTTTGGCCACCTGATGTGAAGAACTGACTCACTAGAAAAGACCCTGATGCTGGGAAAGATTGAAGGCGGGATGAGAAGTGGATGACAGAGGATGAGATGGTTGGATGGCATCGTTGACTTAATGGACATGAGTTTGCATAAGTTCCAGGAATTGGTGATGGACAGGGAAGCCTGGCGTGCTACAGTCTGTGCGGTCGCAAAGTCAGACACAACTGAGTGACTGAACTGAGCTTAAGCTTACTCAAAGTCAGTGCGTAAGGCTGATTTTTTTCTTGGTATTACTTATTATTGCTTTAACAAAATAACTGAAACAACAGTGTCATCACTGTTTTCTCTAGGGATTCATATAAGAACCCTTAAAGGTAGTTAGGTCAGATAACATTATCACATTCTACAGATGAAGACCCTGAATTTGAGAGACTCAATAACTTGCCAGATTGCAAAGCTGGATAGTATTCCCCCAGTGATGATGATGTTTTTGAGACTCCAAATATGCCTCCCCACTTGCAGTGCAAACATATTTACACACGGCAACTAACTAGATAGCAGTGTTATATACATGCAGTTAGGCAACTAAGAATAGGAAATAATTAAAATAATTGCGCTTCATTTTTTTCCTTGTGCACTCATTTCCTTGTGCACCATGCTTAAGTGAGAAAGATGTAATTTCCCTATTTCTTTCCACAGAATTTCCTAACGTTTATCATATCTGTCAGTGTTCTTATGGTACTGAACTTGATAAAGAACATAATCATTCAAAAAAAAAAAAAAAGAATGAAAAACTATCTCAGAGCCTGAATGATGATGTAGCTCTGTGGCATGTTTTTATTCTCTTAACTAGATAATTATCCAGTATGGTTTTTAGTTCATGCTTGTATGGATCAGACCCTATGAGCTATTTTGCTAAATGTTTGGGAGAATGATTCCACTGGAGGACTTGAAAGAATTGATTCTTAGGCAACACCTGACTTAGCTTCAGTCTAGAGACTTGCCTTCCTCCCATGCTGAGGAAGAGGAGTTCTGGCCACTCTGGCTTCTGCATGCCTCCAGTAAGCAATGAGGCCAGGATCCATGCCTCGCTTTTCAAAAGGTGTGATCTGATATACCACACTTCGTAAGATGCCTCCTATAGCCCCTTCCCTTGCAGTCCCCCGGGATAAGGTCAATTTAATTTGCAGTTGGGTATGATGAGACATATTTTGGGACAAAAATTTGTATATAAATATACAATTGTGTGTGTATATATATATATTTTTTTTCTTATTTAAAGTTTGCTCAATTGTGTCAGTTTTACCTACTTTCCTTACCTGTGAAATGGACATAACATTTCATGGCAGTTGAGAATTATTTCAGAAAGGTTTATATTCAGAGATGCTTTCTTGGCTGAAGGTAATTTTTATTGACGTCACTGAAGTCTTTGAATCTGACCTGCCTTCTCTAAACTCTTCAGCTACATATGCTTGGTTATAACATACTTACCTGCCGAAGGAAAATATTTTCTTTTCTGATTGTTTTTTTCCCCCAAGTGGGCTTTTCCAAAGCTAATTTCTCTGCAAAGAGACATATGCTTTAGGTCTGTACTTGTGAATTTACCTTGGAAAAATTAGGTCATCTTCAAATCTGTCAATGTGGCTTATAAACTTGGCAAAGTGTTTTAATTAAAAGCTTCTCTGAGATTTGAAAAAAGGGAAAAAAATTAGTATCAGTAATGTTTTTATTTTCATGGTTTGTGTATTTATAGGTATATGTCACTTTTCATGTTGTATTAAAAGTATGTTGACTGTCTGCTAACAGTTCATCTCTTTTCTTCTGCAGCCTCCAAGTCTGTTATAAATAGTATGCTACGGGACCCTTCTCAGATTCCAGATGGAGTTCTAGCAAATCAGGTCTATCAGGTATTAATCACAGCTGTCTATTTTCAGTGGCAATGCTGTTATCTGCCTAGCAGAGTAAAGGATTTTAAACCTCATTTAATTACTGTCATCATAAACTATCACTGAGGTCAGGGTGCACCATAAATGGCAATGCAATATTTGTGAGAAGAGCATTTCACTTTTAATAGCTTGCTTTTATAGTGAATAAAAAGCATGCAATTTTTGTTTTCTGTGATTAAATCTGAACAGTCTTTTGATAGCTTTTTTTAAAAAAATTTTTAAGAAAAGTAATTACTGCTCTTAGGATATTGTCTGACAGTTTTTGTAGACGCTCCATCCCAGACCCCTTCTCTTATTTGTCTGCAGTGCATCGTGAATGACTGCTGTTATGGACCACTGGTGGACTGCATCAAACAGTATCCTTTCCCATAAAATTTTAGGTGCACAATTGACGAGCTTAGACTCAGTGGAGGAGATGTGTCTAGCTTTAACCTGACATAAAGTTCTGCTTCACAAAACACATTTCATACTCTTCTATTTTATATTCAATCAACTGGAGGGTCACTGCAGACCATTCTTTTCTACAGCTTAAAAAAAATCAGATAGGCATTGGGAAGATGTCAGTTCAGCAGTTGCATGTTCACATGCTTATTTCAACCTGCTTGGTTTTCAATGAGTTTAAAGATGGAGTCACAAGGCAGGTAGCACAGTGTCTTGAAATGTATCTAAGCATTTCAGTGGACATTTTTCCAAAGATAAATAAATTTCTATTTAAAATGAACAAATTTAGTTGAGAATAAATGTTGAACCCGTAGGTAAGGAATGATGTGATTAAACTGCCACCAGAGACCATCATATTTTAAAGGGCAGTAGATTCTTACTGCTTAGATGTTGATTATATTCTGAGCTGTCGCTTGGGTCCCTAATAAACATTTTTAGAGAAAACCAAGCTAATTTTTCCCTCTGGACTGAGTTTAAGGCTAGGAGAACAGATGTCCAGTCATTTTTCGTTAAAGACATTCAAATGACTAAAGAGTTAACACTTGCTTCGTCAAACAGGATTTGTGTGTGTGTGTGTGTATGTGTGTGTACACGCACATGTGTTTCAGTTGTTTCCGACTCTTTGTGGCCCCGTGAACTGCAGCCCACCAGGCTCCTCTGTCCATGGGATTTTCTAGGCAAGAACACTGAAGTGGATTGCCTTTTCCTACTCTAGGGGAATCTTCCCAACCCAGGGATTGAACCTGGATCACTTGTGTCTCCTGCATTGGCAGATGGATTCTTTACCACTAGCACCACCTGGGAAGCCCAAACAGGAGTTGAGTGGACAGTAACCACTTTGTGAAGTAGGACATTGTCAATCAATACATTTAGTAGTATTGTGGCAACACTAAGAATTTTTATAATCTTTGGCTAAAAAATTCTATGTAAAGAGTAAATAGTCATTTTTAGTGGAAATGATATCTACCTGAGTCCATGAGTCAATTTTTTAGTAATACAACATGCCCTTCCTCGGTTTTGTTAGCGCAGATGGCATTGTGACCAGTTAGGACTCAGTGATTACCAATCAGGAGGCTTTTTGTTAGAAGCTTTGCTAGTCAAGTGTGTGTGTGTGTGTTTGTATTCCACCTTGTTTCATGAAGGCTTAGAGTTAGTGAAATTTTTGTAAAAGAAAAAAAATGGATTCATTTTCTTTTTTTCATGGAATTAACCTTTGAAAACTAAATCTTTCAACAGAGCCCACTTTTAAGAATATTCACTATCTATATTATAGCCCTTTGTATGTTTATTCTCCTAATCTGTTCCTCTCAGTCTAACTTAATAAAAGCATAGCATTGTTGTAAGTTCAACCTTTTGTTAGATCAAAGTGAAACTGTGCTTCCATTTTCAGTGTAAAATTAATGATAGTGTTAGAAATTGTCAGAATGCCAACCCCTACGTTGCCAGTGATAAAGTTTAGCACATCCACAAAACGACTAACACCATCTTCGAGTATCTGGGGTGGAATTACATGTTAATTTTAAAGCACATAAAATAGTTAAAAATCAATTTAAAGTTAAGGTTTTAAAAGCATAATGTCTTTTGAAGGATTGCATATTGATTTTAAATATAACTATCTAATTATGTATGCATGGACTAAAGTATGAAGTCAACTGCTTTGTAAATGCCAGGAGGCTGTTTTTCAGTAATAGTTGAGATGCTTACGGGAAACTAGATTGCTGTATTGCTGGTGAAGAAAATGGCTTGTGAGGTTATTTACAAGTTTTGCCCCATGGTCACTGCCATACATCAATAATAGGTATTATTATAGAGAAAGTCTAAGTGTTTCTGCTTATGAAGCATTATAAATTCGGTTTGGAGTATTTTCCTTATATTTTTGCCATCATTCACTTTCCTTTTTTGGTTGTGCTACTGCCAGTAGAATTTAATGTAGTGCATGATTTCAATTGATAAAGATAATGATGTATGTCTACAAATTGTATTCACTGGCTAGATTATAATTTCACAGTTCCATTAAGCCTATTGCTTGTAAAATTACTGTTTTTTATATAAACTTTATATTCTATATTTTGTATTTTATACATGTTTATATCAAACAAAACATAATCAAGATGTATATATCTTTGAAAAGTTTCAAATTAGTGATTGCTCTTTACCATGCAGAATGAAACAGGCTGGGAAGTTTACATAGAATTGATTCTATCTTTGCATTGAGATAGTGGCAGTTTAATGTAACGTAAATACACTTGCTTAGCTGTTTTCAAGGCTGATCAACAGGAATTATTTTATTTCACACTGAGTAAAAATGATTGGATTTTCATATAAGTGCAAATGCTATTTGTATGTTGTTCTGAAAAATTGGTAGTGTTTACATTGCTTACTCTTGGTAAATTACATCATCTTGTTAGAAAGAAAGCACACATTTAATAAATAGAATAGGTATAAAACCTTTTACTCCATTATGAAAATGTTACGTGTAGGCATTTGTGTAAGGAGAGTAAAGTAAATTGGTGATTTATAAATAAGACACCAAAACAGCACCCTAGATTGCAAAGAGTATATAAATTGTCATTGCTTTCTTTTTCTTTTGGCGTCTACTATAATTTTTCCTATATAACCATGTCCACCCACATGTTATTTTCCTGCCACAAGTTGTATTCACAGACACAAAAGGTGTGAGAAACCAGCCACCTCAACTTTCCAAAGTGTGACTCCAGGACAGAACTGTTAGACAAAGACCTGAACTGTGGAACAAGGAAAGATAATGATACAGGAAGCTTGAAGTGCTGTGGTTTTCACTCCTGTACCATCAGTTTCATGATTCAACATTTTAGATGTAAATAATTCACAGCAATAAAAGTGAGAGCACATTTATGTGGACTAGAAGTAAATTATTTAGTTTTGAAACGTGGGATGCCCCTAGTAATGAGAGACCATTGAGAGATATTCATCAGATGTCCTCAGTGGACTCTATTTATGTGTGAAATTTTATGATTTAAAAATGTGTTTTCAGTGAGAAATAAGCATAGTTCCGTGCATGGGGAGGAGGGACAACAGAAAGAAAAAGACAGTGATGATGACTTGGGACTTGTTTTGATGATGTATATGAGTGGTCCCACCTCTTGAATTCTAAGATTTGAATAATACCCACTTGTATGTGTTGGTAAATGACAGGATGATTCTCTACGAATTTTACAGGTAACTTTTAAGCTTTATTTGATTTAAATTGGATTCTTGTAGTGCATGATCAGGACTAAAGAATCCGTTAAGCCAAGGAGTGTTAAGACCAAGTTGACATTAGTGAGATGGAGAATTAAAGAATTACAGGCACACCTCATTTTATTGTGCTTTGCAGATACTGTGTCTTTTACAAATTGAAAGTTTGTGGCAACCCTGCATTGAGTTGGCACCATTTTCCCAATAGCATTTGCTCATTTCATGTCTCTCTGTCACTTTTTGGTAATTCTTACAGTATTTTAATGTTTTTCATTATTATTGTATTTGCTATGATGATCTGTGGTATTATAATTACAAAAAGATGAGGACTCACCAAAGGCTCAGGTGATGGTAGCAATTTTTTAGCAATAAAGTATTTTTTAATTAGGGTATATGTATTTTTTAGATATAATGCTATTGAACACTTAATAGGCTATAATGTAATAGTAACTTTTATATGCCCGGAGAAACCAAAAAAATGATGTAACTTGCTTTATTGCAATGTTTGTTTTATTCTGGAACTGAACCCATGGTATCTCCAAAGTCTGCCTGTATTACCAAACACCTTTGACAAAATTATAGTATGAGAATAGGATAACACTCCTTTTCACACTTTGTACTCTCTCATCCTTTTGGAAAATAGACCAGAATTCCAAGTCTCATTCCTGACTTCATTACTTACCTGCCATGAGACCATCATCAAGTTCTCAGCCTTCCTGAGCCTTGCTTTCCTTAACTGTGAAAATGTACTGGTGACTGTAGTTAGTACCTGCTCATGTGGTTGTTGTGAAGATTAAATAAAATGATACCCCAGAGTGCTAGCACAATGGCTTAGTATGTGGTGTTTAAGGACTATTAGCTAATATCAATTATTTTTATGTAATAAATTTTAATATGTTTAAGAAGCTCTACAGAGGTCATAGGCTTTGCAGAGATTTTGTTCTGATTCTCTGCTCTGGCACACATTGACCATATGATCTTATATAAATTCCTTTTTAAACCTTGGTTCCCTCATCTGTAATATAAGGATAATAATAACTGTGAGGATGAAATAACATATGTAAATACACTGAAAATAACATACTTAATATACTGCCTGCTTCATAATAGCATTCAAAAAATTTATATGAGCATATGTATATATTTATACACACAATATTATGTGAAAATTTGCACGCACAAGAGAAAGACTTGAAAGAGCCTCTGAACTCACGCACTAATCCACAGCCATTTACTGGGATGTCATTCCTCCAGAGTACATATGCTTCTCAGCAAGTCAGTTGTTTGGTTTCCCAAGTCACAGAAGATCACCAATCCTAGACTGGAAGTGAAGTGTTGTTGTTCAGCCACCCACCTGTGTCTGACTCTGCAACCCCATGGACTGCAGCACAACAGGCCTCCCTGTCCCTCACCATCTCCCTGACTTTGCCCAAGTTCATGTTCATTGCATCACTGATGCCGTCCAGCCATCTCATCCTCTGACCACCCTCTTCTCCTTCTGCCCTCAATCTTTCCCAGCAGCAGGACTGGGAAAATAAGAGCTGCTAAATGCTGGCTTTGTGGCAAGTGTGAACTCACAGAAGATTTATGGAACTCTGTACGACTAGAAATTCTTAGGGCAAAATCTGGTTGGTATTCTTTACTGCACTTAGTGCTTAATAAATGGTCCTAAATTGAATTGAGGGGTTTTTAGCATAGCATAAAGGATGTTTATAATTACCTGTACTTTCCATTTCATCTCAAAGTATAGCCCTGGTATTAGCAATTTTTTCTGGTGGTATAATTCTACCAATGTTACGCTCCTTAACTAAGACTCCCCAGTGCCATTGGTCATGAGCATGAAGTCCTGCTGAGGGACCTGCTTCTGGAGAAAAACCTATCCTTCCTAGGTAAGTATTGCTTATGTCTTCTGCAGCATGTATCTCTGTGAGTGCTTAAATATATATTTTTAAAAATCTTCCACTTGCAGTTATTATGTACTAAAGGAAGAGCAAATGATGACGGATGCTGTGCATGTTATCTTTTATTGATTTAGAACCGAGCAGGAACTCAGTTACCTAATCCCTTGTATACACAGCACATGCACAGGCTTACAATTAATATTTTATAGCATAAGTGGCTGAAAAAATACTTTAATATCTGTTGCTGTATTACTTTTGGTGTCATGAGATATTAACCATAATCTAAGCCTTATGAGAGAAGGAAACAAAAGAAATATTGTCCATAAAATGCTTTATATATTGAAAAGAATGGTTAGAAAAATTCATGTTAGGTATTTTTGTCTCATGTATGGAATTGCCTAGTACTTTCACTTGAAAATGAAATATTGAGCTTTTATTATTTTTATGCCAAAAGTGAATTGTCATCATATGAGTATGATTTTTTAAAATCTCGCAGGTACATATGTGTTTGTCTGCCAGCGTGGAATCCTATTACAGACTGTTATTTCTTTCAGCATCTCTTAGGTGTTAAGCATTAAGCCTCAAAAGGCATACATGTGATAACTGGTCATAACAACCACAAAACATTCTACCAGGAATTAAATCCTCTTCTCCATTTTAAATGTGGTAATTTGTCAAGGTTCTATACAGATTGTATTATTGTACACATCTATTTTATGTTAAGAGTTTGCATAGCGTCTTTTTTTTCAGTTAAAAAAATTAAGTGTTATTGGATTACATAATTTTTGCTCCAAAATGAACAAGACTTAGCCAAGGGAAGTCAAATGATCTTATGTCAAGTTGGGAAAGGATGTTGAAAACAGTCCTGCAAGAAATCTGTTTTAGGTCTTAGTAGTCAGTATTTTTATTAATGACCTGAAGGAGTTGAATGTGTTGTAAATGGTTGATATTTTTAAGAGGGGGTATACCATAAATATTCTCCAGTGAGAGTTGAAGAAACCTGATAAATTAGGAAAGTGGCCTCAGATTACTAAGTTAAATATTGATGTGTAAAAGCAACAAGTTTTTTTTTATAAGAAGAACAACTGAAATATTCAGCATATGGAAGAGGGTGAATTAGATAGAAATTACCTTTTAAAATCTAATGAAAAATAAGGTGTATAATGCCTTCAGAGCCAATTGAATGAATGTCCTGTGCTGCACTTTGTAGAACTACAGAGTTCCAGTAATATTATAAAGTATCTGATCATATTGACCACTCAGTGGCCAATAAGGTGTGGCCAAATGTATTGTTCAAAGCCAGCAACTGAGCAGTCATATTTTCAAGACCACTTGGTATAACACTCTTGGCACCATCTGCTTAAGGGTAGTCAAGCCCTTGGCACTGCTTCTCTGCTTAATCTAGTTTTTTTCTGCTTCCTTCCTAAAGACCGGAAGACCCAAACGGGGAGGAAGAGCAAAGGGCTCACTCTTGGCTTAAACTTAGTCCCAGGTCCTCAACTCCCTTGATTCTAGGATCTAAAGGCCCTAGATTGCATCGGCCACGGCTGACAAAGGCAGTGCAGAGACACAGCAGGGAGCCACTGCCCTTTGCTAACACGTTCAGAAAGGGGATTTAAAATGGAACAGGCTCATCTGTTCCTCTGCACTCTAGGATCTAACAGTAATTCTTTTATTGAAGCATACCAAAGATGATCCTTAACTCATATTTAGCTCTCTTCATGTAACCTCAGTCCTGTTTTGAAGCATTTCCTCATCAGTATTCAAAGAGGTTGTTATTCTATGCATTTTAAACATTTTAATGTAGTACTGAATTAATACATGTTTATTTATGGTTAAAACCTGAAAACCCAAAGCCTCTTATGGAGTATCATTATGGGTTTGTTCTTTTACCTTGTAAGTACTCCCTTCACAATGAATAATCAGATCTAGAGTACTGTTACCAGGTAAATTTAGATAGATCATCAAAAACATAGGTATATAAATAGACTACTAATATCATTTTTATTTTCTTGTTTTCATGTGTATGCCTTGCCTTTTGTTGCAGAGACATTGCAGGCATGTTTGTTTTACTTTGATTTTTTTTTTTAATAAGTGAAAGTAAAATCAATCTCTCCCTCTGTGTCTCTTTCTTTCTCCCTTTCTTTTTCCTTCCTTCCTTCCCTCAAATCTGGACTACTTTCAAAAGACAAGGATTCTTATCCTTTATATATTACCCATTCTTAAGAATTATGACTTCCTGAAATTTTTTATCTTATTTTAAATTTTCCACCTATTGTGCTCTATATGTCATTTTATAAAATACATATTTTATCTGACCTCTCTAAAACCAAGAGGTCAGATAGAAGAGAAAAATAAAAATAAATTGCTTCTGTCATAACCCTAATAATTTCTTAAATTTTCTTGATTCATAACCACGTACTGAACAGTTGCCATGGCACAGGATTTGTTGTTCAGTTACTAAGTTGTGTCTGACTCTTTGTGACCCCAAGGACTGCAGCACGCCAGGCTTCCCATCCCAGGGAAGCACGCCCTTGTCCTTCACTATCTCCAGGAGCTTGCTTAAATTCATGTCCATTGAGTCAGTGATGCTATCCAACCATCTTTTGCTCTGACGCCCCTTTCTCTTTTTGCCTTCAGTCTTTCCCACATCAAGATCTTTTTCAACGATTTGGCTCTTATAATTAGGTCCACAGGATTTAACCAGGTACTACATTGGAAAGGAAGAATGAAGTCTCCTTTTTGTTGAAGGTCTAGGTATACTCATGGATTTATTCGATCTTGTACATTTATCCATTTCGTACTTCTCAAGATTTACATTGTATTAAGAAGAGTCAACATTAAATAAATGACTTCAGGTTCTCCAACTAGAAAATATATTTTATTCATATATTTATTCCAACAATCAGTTACTGAATCAGGTACTATTTTAAGCCCTAGACATAAGTCAGATGAAGGCCCTGCTTTTGTAGCTATGGTCAAATTACAAACAAATTATAAGCAAATGAATACAGGTAATTTCTAGCAGTTTCCTCAGAGATCTCATAATTCTTTTATTCATTGTTCAGTCATTTTTTTCAGTTTACTTTTGCTAAGTATGTTCTCTGCATGCCAGGAAAGTGAAGTGAAAAACAGTGGAAGTGTTAGTCATTCAGTCGTGCCTGACTCTTTGTGACCCTATGGACTGTAGCCCACCACGCCTCTCTGTCCATGGAATTCTCCAGGCAAGAATACTGGAATGGGTAACCATTCCCTTCTCCAGGGTATCTTCCCAACCCAGGGATCAAACCCGGGTTTCCTGCACTGCAGGTGGATTCTTTACCAGCTGAGCCGCGAGGGAAGCCCAAGAATGTTGGAGTGGGCAGCCTATCCCTTCTCCGGGGGATCTTCCCGACCCAGGGATCAAACTCGGGTCTCCTGCATTGCAGGCAGATTCTTTACTATCTGAATCACCAGGCATGCCAGGAACAATACCTAATTAGTTTGAAGATGATGATAAGCACTCCTTCCCTCCAGCCCACACACACTATTGCCTTGTCCATCCCAGTAAAAATTCACTTTCATCTAGTGCATCTCACTTGATTGTCTTGGTAGTGAAAATAAATACATTCAAGGCTGTGGTCCTGCTTCTCCTGTGAAAATTTTTGAAGAAGGTACAGATTATGTTAAAAATCAATAGCTACCCTCAACATAGGAAGAAAATGCTACTGGCTTCTAAGCAACTATTCCTGAAGTAGCGATAGAATTTTACTTACTCATCTTACTCATCTGCTCTCTCTCAGCAGCCTCTTCCTGCTTCCATGTGCTTCTCAAGTGGCTGATTGAACTCATTAGCCTGGCTATATTAGCCCTAAGCTAACCACTGTTTCTTTTGGTGCAGCAAACTGTTACCTTTTAAGTACTTGCTATGGACATGTACCATTGGAAATAAAATAAATAAAATAAAACAAGTCAAACATGGATCCTTCCAGGAAATTTTCAAATAAGTACAAATCAGTTCTTTCCAAGTATAGTTAATTTAGAATGAACATTTATTGATGTGCATTTAAAGTCTCAGAAGAGGCAAAGAGCTTGCTGCCCGCTTTCAGGCTTGGAGACACAAGGAAATTGACCAATTAGGCATTGTGACCATCCTTATCCCTTCTGCTAAGGGTTTGTTCCATTTCTAGTATCAATGAAATAGAGACTGTATCTTGTCTGATGGAGATGTTTTAATTTGTATTCTCAAGTAATTAATGATAGCATATTTTATTTTATAGCCTCGGTCTCTCTTTCTTTTGGGAGTGTGGGGTGAGAGGAGAGATTTGGACACAAGGCAAGGGAGAAAAGGAAAACAGTGATAGCCAGAAGACTACAAGAATGTTTGCAATGATAGGGAAAATATGAAAGGGCTTGTACCAAAGGCTGAAGAGAAACATTCATCCTCCGTGGGTTGGCATTTCTCCAGGTCGGAGGGACTTTCATTAGTGACTTCCATAGCTACTGTCTGGTGCAAATTCTCGTTAAGTTTGGCTTAATAAGGATGGTTCCAGAGATATTTTATTCTTCCCAGTGAATGTTGCCCTATTAGTAGCAGCTAACAATTATTTTGAGTGACACCTGAGAGACATTTGCTTCATCCCTGCCTCACCCTACCATGTTTGGTCTTGCCTTATGACAGGCCAGCATATTTTACATAGGCGCTTTTTCTAGCATTCATGTACGACTCTGTGGGACTCCAGGAGGGTGCAATCTGTATAAAGCCGAATAGGCTTACTGAAGGATATCCCTTGCTGTAAGAAATTAGGATCTGTGTTTCTGAGAGTTCGTCTACTCCTGCTGCTTTATTCCCTATCTAAAGCAGCAGTGCTCCAGGGAAGTGATTATGATGTGATTTGGAATTATGACTTCAGGTGAAGAATAGGCAGTGGGAACAGATGAGATTCAGAATACTGAGACTGTGTATACATGCAGATATTAGCCATTGAGGATAAGAGACTAGAGATAAA